AGAGAGGGGCGATATTTGGACGTCCATTCGCTCTCAGAAACTTCAAACCAAAAATCTTTTCTTTGTACGCTCAGAGAGTCGAACGCAACGCATAGATGGAACTATACATATATATATACGCGAACTGACTCCGCCACCTTACGTCAACCGTGCAGATAGCCTGAGTTTCCTGTGGCCCTGGCACCGGACTTAGATACGCCAGAATGATATATACATATGCGATCGAACTCGTAATGACGAAAATGCGTCGTTTTATGAGTATTTATTTATGTTTTAAACGGTGTTTTTAAACCGTACGAAAACTAAAATGGTCTGATTAATAATATTGATTTATCGTGTAATTTTTAATCGTCCCTTGCAACATTTCATTTTTCAAAGGAAACTTTAACCAAATTATCTTACTTAGCACAGAGGTCAAAGACATTTCTACCCGTCAACAGACAGATGTGTCTCATCTACAAAATGAAAACATCAAGCTTCAGGCTGAAGTAAAGACTTTGAACGAAAAAGTTGTTTCGCTCGAGTCGAGCCTTGAAGAATTAGAACAATAAGGTCGGAGAACGTCGCTCCGTTTTCATGGTGTACCGATGACACAGAGTGAGCTTGTTTATACAGACGACCTTGTTGTTCATCTGTGAAACTCAAGATGTCTCCACCTCTGACTACCGAAGATATTCACCGTTCGCACATTATTGGCAAACTCAGAAACGGAAAAGGGCAAATTATATGCAGATTCAAAAACTGGAAAATAGAATAAAATATTTATGTCCAAAACTGCCCTTAAAACCCACAGATCCGGATCATTCAATGTATTTATCTCGGAAGATCTAACAAGACAGAGACAGAAACTCATCGGTGAACTTTCCCGTGCGCGTAAAGCCAAAAGCATTGCTTCATACTGGGCGAACGACGGTCGCATCTTTTTCAAAGTCACGATGGAGTCAGCGAAGGTATAAGTCCAGGCTTACGACGACATTGCTCCCGATGTCCCCCACTCGGAGGAGGGAGGTCCTGGTCAAACAGACTCCATTTTCTAGTTACCAAAAAACAAAAAGACAAATCTACAAATTGTTAATTCCTTTGATCTGAATTTAAAGCACTGTAAATACCATATGAATTCTATGTACAATGTAGTTTACTCAGAACTGATTTTGTTGGCATCGTATTTGATTTAGTACTGGCGTTTTCAATTCCTAAGAGTTTTCCGTACAGTCAGTCGTACGTAAGTCCTAACGCTTGTTTCTAAATATGAAATAATTTGGATTCAATGATGTGTTTATTAGCATGAATAAGTATTCATATTATATATATAAATGAATTGATTCATATTCATAATTTAGTGTGGCTTTATGCCGCTTTAGTGCGCGTTACTAAATAATCAAGTATATAAGTGCATACAAGGAATAGTGATTTAATGAACACGAATCACGAATGAATATGTGTGTTTATATAAACCTAGTCCGCATACCGGAATAATGATGCATATTGTATACATAAATTGGAAAAGGTTGGTACGTATGTATAACTCTTTCGTGACATGCATGTGTAGTTCTCCCTTTTAGCTTGGTTCGCAAATATGTTGTGATACTATGCTGTCACGAGTGGCATAGCATTTACGAATTAATGTGTATGCATGTCTTAGTGCTAATTCTAGAATAGGTATGTATTGAACATAAATATATCAGTGCGTATTCATAATTTGTAACCAAACAACTTAGACACATGTGTTTATAGCGCTGTTATTTAGATACGTTCTAGTGTATACACTTGTGAAGTCATATCATTGAATTATGTCACACTACAGTAATTTGTACAATACAAACTGATGTTCACAAATTATGTCATAGTATTATGTATTTACTTATTCATTTTCATTTATTTATTCAAATTTCAAATATTACCGTACCTATGTTGCGTTTGACATATGTGCTGCTTTTGAACCAAATTATATATTGTACCTACCGTTATGTAATTATGCATTTTTTTTTACACATGTTCTGCCTTAGTATTGAACTTTACCCATCTAGTACAGACATTATTCGCTTCAGTTAAAACACATTTTTGTTTGTACATTTGCTGTAATATGCAATATAATATATATTTGGCCGTACGTATTATCATTATTATTTTTTTCTTATTTTATTTGTTGATGTATATATTTGATACTTACCGGACATTTTGTATAATATGAATCATAGTCGATACCTGTTGTATATATATCCTGTAATCCTTATTTAGTGTGCTTTGTATTCCATACTTACCGTACGTTATGTTTAATTACATGTACCTTACATTTTTCTCCTCCATTGTCCTAATGTAATATGCTTTATGTACTGTTTTATAACGAATAAGAATCTTACCCAGTCCCTAAAACGAATCGAATAAAATGCTAGGCTCTGTTTAAACCATTATATACTTACCTTATATCTCAACAGAGTCGTCTATCACCCACCTTCTATGGTTCACCATCCTGCTCTAAATATATACATATTTGTGTTTTCTCATATTTCTATTCCTCTTTCCTTTTCCTTGTCACTCTCGATATATCTTTACCTATCACTTCTTTCTTCAAATCCCACCTGTCACTCTTACTACTTTCTTTCTTACTCATATCCTGTCCATCGGATGACTTCATATTTTTACGAGCGTGAAACTACCACTGGCCACCTAGATATTACTAGAAATTGTCATTTTTACCCTCCTTGATGGGATGTTGCACTGATACATGGAGGTGTGCCATTGGTTTTTATTATTGTAAAACACGTTCTATAGGCAAACGATTGAATTTTATTAACAAGACAGATTCCTTCGCCACGTTGTTTAAGACAGCTGTTTATTTCAATGTACTATTCGCTTATCTAAGCTAAGCTACATTGTATAATCAAGCAAAATAATATTGGTCTCGTTTTATTGCTATTTTTTTTATTGTCATGCGATATTCATCATATCTCCAGTCCGATCTTGTATACACATACATACGGATGCCTCAGTCTAACGGTAAATTATGACTGTATGAAAACCTTAATTAACCTTTTAAATGTTTTTTCTCTTTTCTTACTTTCGAAATTCAAGTTTTCTGTTATTCTCCTCCTTCTTTTATTAGTGTATATGGATGTTGAATCTAATCCTAGTCCGAGTTCTGGCGAGCTTTCAGTATTTCATCTTAACATTAGAAGTATAAGAAATAAGATGGATTATATTTGAAGACATAGCAGGAGATTATGATATTGTATGTCTTACTGAAAGTTACTTAGATGATCATGTCCTCTACGATGATATACTTATGTTAATAATTTGTTAAAAGTAAACCGCTTAGCAGACCTTGACTATCATGGCGACGAAGCAATTTGGATACAAGTCATCTTACAGCATACTAGTTTTATTATTTGTACCATATACAGACCCGAAAATTCAGTATTACCGTTCTGGGAAAATTTGCGCGCATCTATATATAATGCTTTCGACAATACACCAAATTTAATAATTACTGGGGATTTTAATGTAGAGTTGATAACTTTTGCAACAAACCATGTTTTCTTAGATATAATTAGTTCTTTTAGTTTATCAAATGTTATACTGGAACCTACACGTATAGGTCAGACTAGATCTAGCTTACTCGATCCAATTTTCTTAAGCGATTCTTTATCCTTTATTGACTCCTCTGTCATAAATATATATATATAGAACAGTCAGTAGAACTACCATGTGCCTTTAAATCTGTGTATAACGTAAGGTCTGGTTGTATAAAAGAGCCGATTTTGTAACGTTAAATCAGTACGACTGGAACGGGTCTTTTCTAAACTGTGAATCAGTGGATATTGCTTGTGAAACTTTTACTAATGTATTTATAGAATTTGCTACAATGTGTATACCTACTAAGGAAGTTATCATCAGGCCAAATGACAAACCTTGGATGACTTCGGAATTAAGAAAAAATATAAGAAATCGGGATAGGTTACATAAAATTGCTAGGAAATCAGACCGTCTTCATGACATTCAAAAGTTTAAAAGTCAGCGTAATAAGGTAAATAATATGAAAAAGAATAGTCGTTTAAATTTTTATGAAAATGTCCACGGCATCATTGATGATTATTTTTCTTCTGATCCTAAAGCGTATTGGAGATTAATTAAACGATTGATGAAATCTAGTGGTATATCACAGACTATACCAACTCTAGTAGATCCAGTAACTGAGAGTATAATGACGAAAACCAATCAAACTTTTGATTCAATTAGATTAAATTACACTGAAATTATTGATGTCCTACAAAATACTGAAACTCGGCCAAGCCTCGGGCCAGGACGAAATAAGTCATTACATGTTAAAGAATGTTTGCCATACTATTTGTAAACCTCTTGAGTTACTATTTAATATTTCACTGTCTGCTGGTGTTTATCCTAAATTGTGGAAACTTGCAAAAGTTATGCCATTATTCAAAAAAGGTGATAGACATTCTCCCTTAAATTACCGACCAATTTCTCTCTTGTCTACTGTTGGTAAGGTTTTTGAACGTGTTATTTTCAAACATATCTATAACTGTTTTTTTGATAATTCGTTGTTTTATAAATATCAGTCTGGTTTTCTGCCAGGACATTTAATGGTATACCAATTAATTGAATTGTATCATAACATATGTTTATCGCTTGAAGAAAAAAGAATTCCCCGCTTCCCTTATATCGCAATATATTTTCCTTCAAAATGTATTTTCATGTCATAATCTTTTAAGGCTCTGAAAAGGTCAATTAATAATCAAACAAGTGACACATGTAGGCCTACACGCTGTCGACTTTTTAATTAACTAACAGCTATTTTAGGCAACACTGAATAAAACTATTTCAGTCAACCAATTAAAACGTCGGTTATTTTTAGCTATTTACCTTCGTCTATTTTCAGCGGTGACACATGGGTATTACCCGCTCGTGAGATAATTGCGAGTTGCACCATAACAAGATCCGGTTGGTAATTGTTCGAAGTGTCAAGAACCGAGGTGCAGGTGAGATTCTTCTCGTTGAACATTATCTTTCAACTTTCGCTCTGTACTGTACAGTGGAGTGGAGGTCTTGCTTTTACAGAATTTGCGTGGAAATTCCATTGAAGTGGTAAGATTAAAATGTTACAGAATCTCGGTCGAAGTGAAGCTGTCACAACTTCTAGCCCGAGTTTCCTCTGGCCTAGCTGCGATAACGTAGCTTTCTGACGACGAGATATTTTTTTTATATATTGCAAAGGAGTTTGCTTAAATTAAGAACTACCTCTGGCCCTGACACCAGACTTAGACATTTTGACAGATAGATATCTGGTGTGGGACATCTATCTGTCAAAATGTCTTAATCGATCTGGTGTCAGGGGCAGAGGAAACCCGCACTAAACTTCCTGGTCATAGAATCACAGGTTAGTTGATTTAACAATGATTATAAGTGATATTGAAGTCCTGTACGTAGGACGGTAAATTTATTATAAGTGACTGTAGCGAGTCAGTGATTCGGTCCGTTTCGGCGATTTGTTGTTGGTTACTTCAGTTCTAAGGTTGGTTAATTAAATGGTTAATGGGTCCGTCACACCATAACGTTCTTGGAAAGTTGTACTAACGTCCGCTGAATGTTGCACGCGTTTGGCTATTGTTAGTCAGTCGTTACCTTAGCGTTACTTGGTTGTTATTAATCGTTCACAATCTTTGTTTTGCACTGTTGCAGTGAACGACTCACTGGCGACCTGTCAATGACCAATGAATGGACCCCAAGCACACGCAGCGTGTTTCACATGTTAGTCACACACTCAACACGCTTGTCTGATGTTGACTAATCGTTGGTCGCGCGCCAGTGACACGTTAGCATACGCTTATAGTTTTCAGGGGTGTCTTACTTGGTCGCTGGTACACGCTACTCATGCGTTAGTCACACACTAGTCATGCGTAAGTCACACGCCAGATGTGTCCACCTCACTCTAGAATGCTCGATTTTTTTTTAAATATTTACTTGAACTCGATGTTTTACAAAAGTCAGCATCAAAAAGGTAAAGACTTAACCCCAGGATTATGAGGGGAGATACTGCCTTACTGGCAAGCTTAAGCTAAACTCCAGCAATGCGTGACAATTAACCTTTGGAAACGCTCGCTAGTTCTGCAATGCTGAACATGGTCAGTTGCTGGATAGGTGCAGTCCTTCCAATGTTACAAAATCTTAGCCTCACTCCGCATGTCCTGGGGTCGAAAAAACTATTTTTAACTTTAAGAAACTTTTGCAAATGGTTGAAAATTTCACATGTTAAATCCCACTTGCCAAACTTAAAAATTTAGGTTCTTTTTGTCAAATATAACATGAACAAAGATTAACTCACTTCATTAATTCTGCAAAGATTGAAATAACTTAATTAGTATATATGCATGTGTAAAGAAATACGGTGTACATGTATTATAAGCTTCCCCATACAACATGTAAGTGGCACTGACTTGAAACATAATGTACGCCAAATCATATTATTTTGTAGATATTTTGTGGTAAAAAATATGGTTAAATGCCTATAATGAAATCTTCAACAACGAAAAATCCCCATGGTTGAAACAGCAATGTCTGACTGAAATACACTAGACACAGCCACTTGGCTCAGTGGAATTGGCACAAACAAAGTGATCTTCGAAGAATCAAATTGCTTATCATTGCAGTGAAAGAGATCACTTGCTCAGTCATGTTGCCTTTGGGTGGGTAAGTCAAATACCTTAGTCCTGCACAGTACCAATATCTTCAAATATAGAACAAAAAGAAAGATTACCTGGCATAAAAGGTAGAGATTAATAGAATCTTTCACCCCCTGTTGGGAGTGATACAGGGTAATCTCAACCTGAGGGGTAAGATTCTTAAGTTGTCAAACACGAGGCTTGCCGAGAATCTTACCCCGAGGGTTGAGATCACCCTGTATCACTCCCAAGGGAGAGAATGATTATTTTTCTCTTACCCTGTTTACCCTCTTATGTCTTTTATATAGACGTTACATCAATGCAAGACAATGTTGATGTGATGCGGCTGAATTGTCGACGTGACGACATTGTATTGTTGTCATGACGTCATTGTATTGTTGCCGTGACGTCATGGTATTGTTGCTATGACGTCATACAATTGTTGAGAACGTGCAAAGAACACGTGTAGCTTGTCTCAATCCTATGGTGAGATAAGAAAATCTCACACCGGTAAAATGGTGGATATCCCTGTCCAGAGTTAGAGAAGTTCTTTTCTTTCTGGAATGTAATATTAGTACATTTATAATTTATATTTTCCTTTGATGGCTTGACTGCAACTTTTACTACTTATGATTAAGTTCTCAAGTTGGATTCAGTTTTGTAAATTGAAATGTTTTAAAACTTGTTTTTAATTTACCTTTTCATAAGTATTTTGTACCCACATTAAATCCCCCTTGTAACTACCATCTCAGGGGCCATAGCTTCAAGAGTGATTATTATAAGTTGATATAATTTGCTAAATATAGTTGTTGTAAAATTTATAAAGTTTTGTTAAGAAGGTACAAAAAAAATCACTGTATGTGTTTAATTGTGCAATTTCATCTTCCTCTGAGTTTACAGGGACAACATTTAATAGCTAGACATCAGCAGCCTGACGTGTGGAAGCCATGGAGTTTGGTGGTAATTATGTGTACGTAGGTGGTGGCGGTGAGGAAGATACAGAGTTGGTTACAGATCAGGATCACAAGGAACTTGTACCAACAGCACCACAGGGGGATCAGGACTCGGGGGATGTGAGTATGCAGTGTTTTTTCCGTCTGTAAATGGTCGGATTATGACACTATTCCTGATGCAAAAATGGCATTTTATTCCCCAAATGAACTTTTAATTCCCAATTAGTAAAAGTATCAGATTTTTTTTTTTTTTTTTTTTTTTAAATTTCATCGCCAAAATCTTTAAGTGACTGGCCTGGCCATAAAGCAATGACATAAACAAATTATGATAGCAGAAACGAGAGGGCAATGAGAGAATTTTGGACTAAGCATTAAAATGATGTTAATAAGGCAGCTAGGACCTATGTCTTCACTACCAGTACACACCTATATAAATATTCTAACCGACTCATCAAACTACATCAAGGCAAATTGAGCCAGGAGCTGTATCATTCTAAATTCAGGTCTTATGTCCTATTATAAGGAATTATGGCCCATTGTTCTCTGTGATGCCCTTTTAACCAAGATTTGTCTCGCATATATGCAATTGCAAAATTTTCAATACAAGATTCTCTTCAGATGACAGTGTAACAAACTGATATCAGGCCTTGTAGCCATATATGCAGAGTTATGGCCATTTGCACTCTGAATCTCCTTGTCTGGGGCATATCTTATACTGTTGTCACCTACATTTATAAAACTTTGATTCTGAGTACCACTAAATGGGATGGTAGAGTTCATACTTGTCAACTCTTACTTTTTTTGAGGGAGACTCCCGATTTCAGATATTGAAATTGAGCATTTTAGTTTTTCCAAATCTATTCTTCAGCCAGGCCAGATCCATTTCTCAAAGTACCTTGTTAAATATTGCACAATATTTTTCACACAGTTTTAACCCAAATATTCTCATTGATACTATTTTGACTGTGATTCTTGATCACAATTTGACCCTATATCTTGACCTTGATCACATTGGCCATCTATTTTGACCTTAATCACATTTACCCTCTATTTTGACCTTGATCGTTTGACCCTCTATTTTGACCTTGATCGTTTGACCCTCTATTTTGACCTTGATCGTTTGACCCTCTATTTTGACCTTGATCGTTTGACCCTCTATTTTGACCTTGATCGTTTGACCCTCTATTTTGACCTTGATCGTTTGACCCTCTATTTTGACCTTGATCGTTTGACCCTCTATTTTGACCTTGATCGTTTGACCCTCTATTTTGACCTTGATCGTTTGACCCTCTATTTTGACCTTGATCGTTTGACCCTCTATTTTGACCTTGATCGTTTGACCCTCTATTTTGACCTTGATCGTTTGACCCTCTATTTTGACCTTGATCGTTTGACCCTCTATTTTGACCTTGATCGTTTGACCCTCTATTTTGACCTTGATCGTTTGACCCTCTATTTTGACCTTGATTGTTTGACCCTATATTTTGATGGTCAGACATGCCTGTTGGACATCCTGGACACAGCTGGTCAGGAGGAGTACTCCACTACTAGGGATCAGTACACACGCACTGGCGACGCCTTCCTACTGGTGTATAGTATCACTGACAAGTACAGCTTGGAGGAGGCGGAGGCGATCTACGACATGATGCTAAAGATCAAAGGAGAAACCCGTGTGCCAGCGGTGAGTAAATGTCATACAACTTAACATAAATTTTATGTGATTGTACTTTTGAGAAAGTGTTCAAAATTTAGTTTTCGCATTGCAGTTAAATAATTAGTTGTTATTTTCAACAATAAGAAAATACATTTTTCATTATACACTGCATTTTCACCATGACGTCTTACCTTTTCTTGTAATTTTTAAATGTATCAACTAACGTTTTGTTGTCACAATAACTGTCACTGGTGAATATGTAACTAATGATGTTTCAGTTTTATTTCCACCATATGGTCATACCTCATTATTCACTGGTAAAAATGTTACAAATATTATAGTGTTATCTTTCTTCAACTGGTGAAAATGCAACAAATAATGTTTTGGTAAATAATTGGTGTGTTATTTTCATTAGGTACTGTGTGGCAATAAAGTTGACTTGGACGCTACACGTGTGGTCACGCATGATGAAGGCAAAGCATTGGCACAGAAACTAGGCATTCCTTTCATGGAGACATCGGCCAAAGATGGGACCAATATCTGTGAGGTTTTTGAGACACTGGTGATGGAAGTTCCTAGATTGGAGCCGTCGTACAAGGTAATGGTTATACATGTTTATACATATATATCTATACTTATTTATTTAATTAAACTGGACTTCAAATTGTCAAAAAAGGGGTGGAATATTAGCTCTCACCTATAGAACATTGAATATGCTTCATTTTTTTCATTTATGTGCATAAATGACAAAACTGTCCACGGTAAGAAAGTGGTGTAAAAGATTTCAATCTTACACTCCATTTCATTTGTATGACATCACAATGGGACAACAATGATGTGACGTCACAAAATCGGAAACATTTCGTGGCTTTGATGCATGAATTGTTACCCGTTTTATTGTCTCGCCGCCACGAAGTGGAAGCGAGACTTAGGCGACGGCGTCAACATTAAGTTTTTGCCTTTAAGTTAGTTTCTCTGAAAGTATAAGTGCTAGACCAAACAAACTTGGACCATAGATCTATCTTAGGTAGTACATCTCAACCCATTTTATCAAATGTTGGATGCTGCCTTTCTTTTATGGTCCATTGACTTTGTCAGCATCTCCATCAGCTTGAAGTTTTTGCGTTTAAGTTAGTTTCTCTGATATGTGCATTGATGGTCAAAGCGTGCGGGGCATGGGCGAGACATATCAATTCAAATGGCTTGTGGTTTCTTAGTTCATTTTGGTGATTGGAATGAGAGAAAAATACTCCTTCATGCCCAGGGGTATAGGATAGGGAAATTCTACCCTTGGGATATCCAAGTTGGTGCAAAACCCTCAGCAAACCTCAGGCTTTAACCGATTTGAAACCTCTTGAGTGGAATTTCCCTATCCTACCCCTTGGCATGAAAGAGTCTTATAATTCTGCTGGTATAAAGGTAGACTATTTTATATTAAAAAGGGTTTTTATTAGCTCACCATCATCAAGCTTCTCTCGGTCTGTAGTTGAGCATGTTTACTTTGGGACTGCTTGGAAAAATAAAATGGACAAATGGTGGCCATCTTGGAATTTGACAATTAAGGTTGTTATCTTTATTTCTCAGAAAGTACAGGAGGGGTCTTTCTTAAATGTGATATGCAGGTTCCTGTTGCTCTTTGTTTTTGCATGTTTACTTTCGAGACTGTTTTGAAAATTAAAATGGCACTTGTGACATATCACTGTGTCCAGTTTTCCTGGTAACAGATCAACGGCAGTGAATAAACGCGTTACGTTGAGATAACCCCGATTTACAGGTCGACTTCAAACACTTTAGGAAGTATTTTAAGTGAATTGTTGAATGTGGTGCATACATACACGACAAGTCCATTATGAAACTCTGCTCAGAAAATTTGAATACGTTTTGAATGATAGCAAAAGTGCATTTATAATATTAAACAACAATATTTTAGATAGTTTTCACATACATACACGGGTATTTGCCAAACAGGTGGTCATCTTAGGGAGTGGAGCAGTCGGCAAGTCTGCTGTCACTGTGCGATATACCACCAACACCTTTGTGGATTGTTACGACCCAACCATCGAAGACTCGTATAGAAAGAACGTCCACATCAAAGGCCTCAGAGAAAAACACAGGAAAGCAGGAACTGGTATGTATGGTATTACATAACTTTGGTCAGTTCTGTAACAAAGGATGAGGGAACCAGTGCTCAATAGTCTAGTCACCTGATGATAAACCACAAACTAATTGCAACAGAAAGATTTTTACTGTAATAATTAAGTTTATCATATCTTAAAAAACAGATCAAAAATCGACAAAAATCGACAAAGGGGAAAATGCTTTAATTCTGGTTGCAAATGTGTAGCTTTACGACGGAGTCTAGCTGGCACGTATGGGCGGCCGTAGACATGAAGAGCTCTGAAAGGGCGATAACTCCAAATTGGCAAATGCAGACGACGCTTCATTGCTTTGTCATTTTGACCGCGGTAAGTAAATATTGCACATTTTGATATAAAAATTCATATAGTAATGTTAAATTATTGCGATTATAACTTATTTTCCGCTTCCACTAGTCACGACGTTTTGTTCCGTCGTTGCCAATCAGTCGATGAGTACAATGTCAGCTGACCGTGCTGAACTTTTTGTTTTCATCAACGATTTAGCATATGCCCGAGCATGTTTGAAAGAACTGAGTACATATATGCTTTTTGTGAATATAATAACTAATTACCAATTAGATTTAATGTAGTTGGAAGCCCAAAATGTCACCGTCTCGTACATGTTGAGGAAAGCGGTGTACGAGCGAATAAAAAATGTATGGAAGCCTGTATATGAAAATCTTCAGACAGTTATAAAATTGCGTACACAATTTGCATTTTTTTCAAATGGTTTATTTAAGTCTTTTCTTTTGTTAAATTTTGTTTTTCGTTTTTCGGATTTTCATTTCTGCTCTGTGTTTTTGTATTTCGTTTCGGATTTGGATATCTGGATACTGCATATTGCAACCATGGTGAGTATATATTTACAAATCCATTGTACAATTGTGTAACCTTTTAGGCCAGATATATTTTGTTTTTTCCTTTTAACTTTTATTTAATTTTATTGTTATTTTCCTGTTATATTTAGATGTTTAAGCGAATTTACTCATTTATTTAATAATACAAGTGTTAAACCTATTACCATTGTGAAATTCACTCTGTTCTTTTTGTTTCATATTGTTCTTTCTATTATAGGTTGTAATTGAAACCTGTGTGTTTTGCCTGAAATCATTTGATGATGATGAGCCAACATCACAACTTCGAGAAAAAGGAAGTGAAAGTATCAACCTTGTAAGTCGACAGACAGGCGACACTATCATAGCTTCGCCAGGCCAAAGGGTCCATCAAGGTTGCTGTCGTGATTTTATACATCCCAGGAGTTTGAAGCCAACAACGGGAAATGTGAGCATTACTCCGAAAAGGTCTTTAAGATCCACAACACCCGATTTCGACTTAAGGGAACATTGCCTTTTTTGCGGGAAACCTGCAAAGGTAAACGAGAGGAAAAGGGGTCACGATGTGTTTCCAGTTAGAACAACGGAATTCAAGAACAATTTGGAAGCTAAGTGTATGACAAGAAATGATGAATGGGCGGAAGAGGTTCTTGGTAGACTCCAAATAGCCCCTGCAGACCTCCATGCAGCTGATGCTGTGTACCATCAGTCTTGCAGTGTCAATTTCAGAACGGGGAAGATGATGCCATTGTCTAAAAGCTCATACAATGACATAAAAAGAGTACCCCTGGATGACCTGAAAAGGCATCTTCTGAGGATGCTTTTCTTAAAGTTGTTAGACTGATAGAAGCGGGAGAGGAGGATCAAATTACTATAAGCGACTTAGTGGCAGAAATGGAAAGGACTTGCGGCAACGAGGCATATAGCTCTGTACACATGAAAAAGAGGATCCTCGATCATTTCGGAAAATCCGTTGTAATAACTGATCTGGATGGAAAACCAAATGTTGTTACCTTGACGCAAAATGTATCAACGATTCTCCAAGAATTCTATGAACGACCCAAGATTGAAAATCCCGAAGAAGAAAAAAAACACGTTATTCTCACCGCAGCAAAACTTATAAAAGCAGACATCAAGTCACTGGATTCTTGCTTCAAAGCTTATTATCCATCTTCAGAATACATCTCTTCTCAGCAAAATTGCGATTATGTACCTGATACCCTACGGATATTTCTGGGAGGAGTTTTTAGTCAGTCCGAACCAACAGTAAAGATATCGGCTATTGGACAAGCAATTATCCAGGCATGCAGACCAAAGTCAATCATAGCCCCGCTTCAGATAGGTCTCGGTGTACAAATGCACCATCATTTTGGATCGAAGTTCCTTATTGAAACGCTGAACACTCTTGGTTTTTCTTTGTCCTACAAAGAGGTCCAGAAGTATGAACTGAATGCTGCGGCAGCACATGGTAGGAATGACACGACCATTGATGCGGGGTCTTTCATCCAATATGTAGCAGACAACATAGATCATAACTTAAGAACTCTGGTTGGTCATGGAACGTTCCACGGAATGGGAATCATCGCTGCAGTTACTCCTGTAATGCCAAGGCGAAATCCTGTACCGCGCGGAAGTCCAACTATACAAGAAGTAGCTGACTTGGCAAACATAAACATCGAGTTTTAAAGAGGCCAGAGTAACAGTCTGTCGGAGCTGAAATTTGAAGTTCTTCAAGAAATAGCAGACCACGACGAGACCTGGAAACTCGGTTTGTTGTCTAGGTCATCTTGGCCTTTGCGCTGCTTACGGCCAAACTGGTAAGCAATGATGTACAAAATCATGGACGATGCTTTTCCTGGTAAGTCAACAATCATCTTTCTTCCCATGATTGACATGAATCCAAGCGACGTAACGTGTATCTTTTCAACGCTCCATTTCGTGTGTAAAGAGGCAAAGAGAAATAATTTTACTCCTATCATTACATTTGACCAGCCGCTGTATTGGAAGGCAATGACGATAATACAGAATGAACCAAACAACAGTATTCTCAAGAGCATGGTTCTGAAGCTCGGAGGTTTTCATGCACAAATGAGTTTCCTCGGAAGCATTGGGCAGGCAATGGCAGGTTCAGGACTAAAGGAGCTGATGGAAACTGTATATGCCCCTACAGCTGTTTCGCACATGTTAACCGGAAAGGACATTGCAAGAGCTGTGCGCGAACATTTTCTTATAGATACAGCACTGACAGCCGTTATCATGAATACGCTCTAGGACATACCGATACCGGGATCAACAGATAATCAGGAAACCGAGCCAAGACAATCAGATGATCCTGACTACTTCGGTTCTACCCAAGCTGATTTATGCGAGACAGCAAGGCTGTTAGATTCTCTGTTGTCAGGCATTGCATCAATTGAGATAGTGTGCGGAAGTTCAGTCTTGGACAAAATCAAATCTAATATTGACAATTTCAGACTTTCGCACTCAGATTACAGAATATCTCGCTTATGGTTCCAGTACATGGATATGGTAGATATACTCCGTAGGTTTATAAAGGCCGAGAGGACGACTGGTAACTGGCAATTACACTTACAAGCTATTCAAGAAATGCTTCCATACCTTGCTGCAGCCGGGCATAACTTGTATGCAAAATCACTACGGATTTACCTTCAACAAATGAAGAGTCTCGAAACAGATAATACTGCAATATTTGAATTCCTGCTGTCCGGATACAACGTTATCAGAAGAAGTGATGCTTATTGGTCAGGGATTTCTTCAGACTTAGCAATAGAACAAGTACTAATGAGAAGCATCAAGGCAACTGGTGGAATGACACGAGGAAGGGGAATGACTGAAAGTCAGAGAGCACAATGGGTTCTGTCTATGCCAGACTGTTCTGAAATAAACAATGCCATGCAAGAATTCACGAACGTAAAATACAGCACAAGTAACCAACACAAGGAGAGTGGCGTATCTCGAAGGAATAAGGACGCAGCAGACACTCAGACATTAGCGTTGTATATCGCTAACAGAAATCCTTTCTTTGAGGAAGTTGCTCTCAGGAATATAGAAACAGGCGTAACAGCAGACAACAAGGTCAATGCTGACACAGCCAAAGCAGTAGGTTAGGCTATTCTAAAATCTATGGACGGCAAAAGCGTCCAAGAGTATTCGTTCAAACGAAATAAGCGAGTTATAACGCTAGGTGAAAAGTCCTCACTCAAGATCAATGATGAAACCATATCAGTTGACCCCCAGTTGCTATTTCAACGCTTCATCGCTGCTTCAAACAACTTTTACGAAGACCAAGCTGAGATTTTCTCATACGAGCTATGTGGCCATCCAAGTGCAATGTTTGAACCCTCTGGCTTTATGAGATTAGCACAGAAATCAACACTGCTTGATTCTATATGGAATCTAGGTGAATGTAAAGCACAGGATTTAGGTACAGATGGATTTCGTTATGTCATTGATGGAGGCTCCCTTATACATCGAGTGAATTGGCAAACTAATGTGACGTTCGGCCAAATATGCCAGAAATACATCGACTACATACGGCGGATACACATAGAAACAACCGTCGTCTTTGATGGTTACAGCTCTGGCCCTGACACTAAAGATGGAATCCACCTACGACGCAATCGAGGAATCGTCGGAACCAAAGTAAATTTTAACGAGAACACTCCATTCCGGTCAAAGAAAGACATGTTTTTGGCAAACAGTGAAAATAAGCAGAACTTCATTAATATGCTGAGTGAAAAGATAATTGAAAGTGGCATGGATACAAAACACGCAAACACAGATGCCGACGTCTTGATTGCACAGACAGCAGCGTCATCTGCAACGTCAAAACCCACCGTATTACTTGGCGAGGACACAGATTTGTTGGTACTCTTGTTGTACCATACGGACATTACTGCACGACAGCTCATTTTCAAATCAAATCATTCACCAAGTGGCAAATTGAAGGTATGGGACATTGGTAAAACACAGTGTACTTGGAAATGGCATGTGTCAGATACTCCCCGTGATACACGCCATAAGTGGTTGTGATACTACCTCGAGGTTATTTGGCGTGGGAAAGGCTGCAACTCTAAAGAAATTTGTGGAAAGCGACGTCTTAAAAACCCAAGCTAGTGTGTTTCTTTCTTCAAGCTCTACTAAAGAGCATGTCATAGCTTCTGGAGAAATTATTATCAGTACTTTGTACAACGGTTTGCCAAACGAAAATCTGGATGCTTTAAGATACAGAAAGTTTGTAAATCGGGTCATGACGAACAAAACATTCCTACAGATACACACCATTCCTCCAACTTCCTCGGCCGCAGCATACCATAGTTTGAGAACATACTTACAAGTACAAACATGGATATCGGAAATAACTTTGAATCCAAGAGAATGGGGATGGATGCTCTCTGAAGAGAAACTTATGCCTATCAAAACCAACAAAGCTGCTGCACCTGAGTGTCTTCTACGCATCATCCGATGTCAGTGTAAAACTAATTGTGATAATAAGAGATGCACCTGTAGAAAACATGGATTGGAGTGCTCCACGGTTTGTGGGGAGTGCAGAGGTAGCAGTTGTTCAAACTCATCAAAACAAGTGGCCGAGGAATTAGAAGATGATTGATTCAATGAATGGCTGGCTGATGCTATAGCGTTAGTAAAACAATGATAGTAGAGACATGGCTCTTACGATTATCATTCTTGAACAATCACTTATATTAATCTTTATCTTCATAGTTTAGTTTCCTTTGGGGACATTTTACTAACATATCGTAAATTCTATTCCCTCTCCCTACTATAAGGTTACGACTTACGACGTGATTAAAGACTTACAACCAACTGTAGAAGGGTCCCAATATAGCCACTGCATAGATACATAACTCTGGACCCTTTATCAAACTTGTGCCGTTAAAAACTTTGTTAAAAGTTGTGTTTTCTTTGCAAACTAAGAAGAAGAAAAAAATTGCTACTTGTTGGTCAACTCGCCCACAAAAATGTACCATGTTAAATATTCATCTGATACTTGATTGGTTTGATAGTCCTTCTAGTGAAATGATATCATGTTAAGAATAGATGTACTGTTTATACATCGAATTAGCAAGAGTGATGAATTGTTACGACCAAACCGTAATTTCTCCACTGGAATGCTTACAAAATGACGTCGTATTTCATTTGAATTGGTCAACTCGCCCACGTATAATCGTTGAACAATTTGTTTTTTTTTCATTGAAAATGTCTTGTGACAGTTTTTTATGAGTTATTCAAATCACTAATCATGTTTCTGAAATGATCCCAATTGCGGTGAAATAAATCATAATAAGTTGAAACACATGTTTACTAGTTTTCATTGGTTTTTATTGAGATACTTGAGTTGGAGGCCCTAATTTGTCAATTTCCCTTTAATTTTTTGATGTCGATTTTTCAGAAGTCATTGGTGATATAAAATAGATGATAAAAATGCATCAACCGTTTCTGTTGCAATTTGTTTGAGGTTAGGGCATTTTTGGCGTTAGGTGACTAGACTACAAGGATGGTACGGTTAGGGCAGGGGCAGGGGGAGGGGGACTAGTGTTGTGCATCAAATTGTGTCAAGGACAGTATTGTAACCTGTTGAGGAAACTGGTTCATATCAAATTAGGTCAAGGCGGTATCGTAACCTGTTGAGGAAGCTGGGTCATATCAAATTGTGTCAAGGACAGTATTGTTACCTGTTGAGGAAGCTGGTTCATATCAAATTGTGTCAAGGACAGTATTGTAACTTTATTTGTTGAGGAAACTGGTACACATCAAATTATAGGTCAAGGAAGGATATTGTTTTGGGGTGGGGGGAGTGGGAACTGGACTGGTTTGTATCAAAGTAGGTTACCACAGGAGGACAGTTTACTCAGAAGTAAAATTTGATCTCAACTCGTCTGGTATGGAACATAATGTCTTGGGTAAGTGCTATGAAGAAATTGGTTTATCCAAAGACTTTTGAGAGGATGAAGGAATTTTACTATATAGGGTACACTGTATCATCCTATAAGCATGGAGCCATTGTTACCTGTGGTAGATAATGACAAATGTATCGGCTCAAATATCCAAATACACAGTATACTACTAGTACTGTTTGTGTCTGTATATTAATCAGTTAATATCATTGTAAGCAATACTATTCGTGAAATAACATACTTCGCTTATATTGATACTTTCAGTGTACCAAACAGAGGAAATTTATGAAAAGAAAAACACTGTTTAGATGACAACTTTATTGACATGTCTTTACAGATAAAAAGTCACAGTCAACTTCAGAGAGATCACAGTCTGCCACTTCGGAAGTAGCACAAGCTGGGGGAACTGGTGTGTATTATATTGTGACAACGATGGTATTGTAACCTTTCGGTAAAAGAAATGACAGTACTATGGAGCAATGTGTTTACCAAAAGAATTTTGATAAGGTGAACACATTTTCTCACATAGGCCTAGGGTTATGATTCTTAAAGCGTGGAGACATTACCTGTGGTAGTTAATCATTAGTTGATGTCAAACGGTAACTCTGCAGACAGTTGTGTCCTCTGTGTGAAATGTCCTGATGTAGTCTGTGCGCTTAGGTCACATGGTGTCGCTTGACAAATGTATCGGTTCAAATCTCCAAATACACAGTTTACAACTGTTTGTGTCTGTATATAAATCCGTTTATACTGTTGTATGCAATACTATTAGTGAATTAACATACTACACTTGCAGAGAGACCACAATCTGCCAGCAGTAAAGGAGAAGATACTGGAATATTTGCTCAAATGAGGCGTCTGCTCAGCTTCAAGAAATCTGGCTCTGCCGAGCAACAAAGGCCGACATCAGCTCCTGTTGGACGGGCCCCTCCCCCTCCTCCTCCTCTCCCTCCCTCAGTTACTACCAAAACGTCCAAGAAATATGAAAAAGCAACCAGCAATGTGGTGCTTGTATCGCTCAAGACACTGGATGACCCTCTGGCCACCGCGACAGGCGACCCTGTGCGGTGTGGGAACTGTGATGCTGTCCTGTCGTCAATCTCAAACACAGTACAGGAGGCAGAAAACCTCAATTGGAATTGGTAAATTATTGCAGAGTCAAACGTTGTTTAGGATTTAGAAATAGTGTTACCCATGATTTTTAAGTTAAAAGTAACTTTCTAGCTCCAATTCATAGCGTAAGACTGGGAAATTATAAAATCATTGTGCTTCCTAGGCCTGGAGGAAGTACACTGCATAATTATTTTTTTTTACCTGCAGGACAGGAGGTAATGTGTTAGGATGCATAAAAATCACAGTATTAGTTTTAATAGTGTGATGAAAATTTTCTTATTTTCATGTATTTCTAATTCACAGTATATTTGTGTTTAATATAATACTACAAGAATTAGAGTCAGTGAAAATAATTGTCCTTTCAAGTTTGTGACAGTTATTTTTGGAGCTTCAAGTGAAGGACAATCTTGTGTTATTCAGTGAATTATTGAACCAATAAAAAGATATGACTGCAAACAACAGGGCTTTAACAAGAAACTAGATAATAAATTAAGTATTGTGATGTACTGGATTTTTTGGAATTTATTTAATCTAAAATTTCATATGAAGATATCCTTGTATTTTTTACTACACAGCGAATTTTGCCAGAAAGAAAACATTCTGCCAAACACTAAGAAAGATGAGATTCCGTGTGAGGCCATTATTGACTACATCATGTCCCCGCCCGCACCGTCCGACACCGAGGCCGGGCAGCAGGCTGGAGCAACAGGGACCGAGAAGGACAAACTAAACTTGGGAAAAGGATACACTATTTACTGTATTGATATCAGTGGCTCTATGGGCTACAGCACCAAGCTACCAGAACTGCAAGGTACGCAAGTTTTAAAGTTTGAACTGAAGACTAATCTGAGTATTGTCTATATCAATAGCCAACAGTTTGATTATGTGAGGGAAAGTTATTATGTCGTGGAAATATGAAAAAATATAATCATAATTAGCTAGTGCAGGCCTAGGTCGGCATGTCATTGCTAATGATATTGAAACCCTTCTTATCAATCAGTATGAAACTCTATCTTTTGTAGTTGCATGGAAGAAAGCCAGAGACAGGTCATCTAATTTTGACACTCAAGTTACGAGATTGGCTGCCATTAAGGAAGCACTTAAAAGGTATGTAACACTGCTACATTTAACCCCACAGAACGGGTTTTAAGGTATAGAGTCCCATCACTTTTCTACCGTATACAGGCATTAAAAAGTGTTTTCCTGTTCAGTCTATGTTTCTTCTTCTAGCATCACACAAAGAAATTTACAGGGAAATTTCTCAAGGAGTCAATTAAACATTTTGAATTTATTCCAATATCACTATATAAATTCCAATATCACTATATAAATACAAGCGCAGCAGAAGAATTTCCGGTTCTATAATCGAGAGGTTGGGGGTTCATATTCCTTCAATGTAGATGTTTTTTGTGAAATCATAGGAAATAAAAGAAAAAAATATATATATATATAATTTTACTAATTGGAAACTGATTTTGCGAGCTTTCGGAAATGTCTTTCGTTCGTCAAGCAAGGAGTGCCAAACAGATGTTTTTGAAACCTGCAAAAGAAGCTTTCAGTTTCTGTTTCATAAAATCTGAATAATTTTTAATATACATTATATCTAAATGTTCATCTAGACAACTTGAGCGACTGAAGCTGGAAAATCCAGACAGGAGAGTGATCCTGGTACAATTTGCTAACGACGTGACCATTATAGGTGACGGTGCTCAGGAACCATTTCTGGTCGACAGTCACATCAAAGACTCGTTTGACGGCCTTGTAGCGTGTGGTAAACAATATGCACAGCAGATGGACACCCGTACATTAGAGGAAAGTTATGAGTGAGTATCAGATATAGTTGTGAGCCAAAAGTTGTTCCGATTCATGATGAAGTCTGATGAAGAATATTCATTAAAGTGAAAAACAAGTTACACCATATCAGTATAAAGTTTGAAGAATTTTACTTTAATGCAATATCTTTTTTTTGCTGTGATGTTGAGGAGAACAGTAGTGATATTATAGGGATACATTATGATATTAAATGGAATAATTGTGATATTAAATGGAATGATTGTGATATTATAGGTAATAATAGTAAAATAAAATAAAATATTTGTGATATTAGATAGATTAATTGTGATATTATAAGAAATAATTATAAAATTATCCGGTAGATGAAATATTTGTGATATTAGATGGAATAATTGTGATACTAAATGGAATAATTGTGATATTATGGGGGAAAATGTGATATAATAGGGAATAAGTAATTAAACCTTTTACGAGAGTGGTAAAGACTCCTGATTATTTAGTGTAATGCTTATGAGAATATTTTTTGTTTAGTGATATTACAGCAAAGATCACAGACATGCATACCAGGGATTGCACTGCCCTCGGACCAGCACTGGCCACAGCCATTGGTATGGTGACTGGAACCAAGGGTTCAGAGGTCATCTTGTGTACAGACGGAGCTCCAAACTCTGGTATTGGTAGACTCCACAGCAGTGATACCACCTGTAAGGACTACTTCACCATGGTAAGACATGTAAAGTTATAATAATAATAATATTGCAATGAAAGATTGAATGATTGGGCATGACAGAAGAACTCAAAGACAAGAGTGAATGAAGAGGAATAGGCCTAGACCTCCAGCATGAGAGTAATAAAATCTGTTACGTGTAACTGAGCGAGATCGGATTATCTCGGTCGAGGGCTAAGATTCTGAAACATAGCCCCAACCGCGGTGTAAGCCGTGGTTGGGATGTTACAGAATCTTAGCCCGAGACTAAGATAACACGATCCTGCTCAGTTACAGGTAGTTGATATTTTTTCTCTCACACCTTCTAGCTATTTTTGTTTGTTAATATTGCTATATAATACAAGCATCTCGTCTGAGGCCTCAAATAAAAATGGCCTCTACACTACTAAAGCTACATTTTAATACTTCAGCGTAAAAACGTAGTACGTCCTAACAAAGAAAACGGCATATTTTACAGTGAAGATTATATTTTTTCAACAATATCATATTTCTGACAACATCAAACAATACATATAACGACAAAACAGAATACATTTAATGCAGATTGCCGTTTTATGACGTGGGATATTTCTGTCTGAGGTGTGAGAATACCTGATGGAAGAGGGATGAACCTGGGGCTCCCCAACCCTTACACATGTTATCAAAGTTATTTTCTTCTCAGATTAATACAATTTCCTCTTTGCATTCATTTAAAAACAAATACATTAAAACCACAATATGTACATGCCTTCGTTTGATTTGTCTCCTTGCTTACAGCCAACATATTTCAAGGTCCCTATTTTATACATTTCTTTCAGATTATTGCCAAATCCTTTTATAATGCCAAATTTTCTGTGGACAAATTATGGAATTTAATGTCATTTTTACTGCCAGTTTTACAGTATGTTATGTTGTGTCGCTTTTTAGGGAGTTATAAAACTCGAAATTATCCCTCAAAATTATAGTGTTTCAAAAAAGTAAAAACATTAGTGTGGAGCCAAAATGGTTTTTATAAAAAACGTAAATTATGATACCTGGTAGATATGTTTCTTACCTATAGTACACTTTGATACAAATTCGAACTCTTCTTTGTTAGAGATATAAAACAAAGCACTGGATTGATCTACCTTAAGCATAGGTAGCTTAATTATGTAGACATCAGGATATTGATGTATACTTATAGGTGGGTAACTATGCCAAAGAAAATGGAATAGTGGTGTCCATCTTGGCCGTGGAAGGGGAACCTGTCGGACTTGAGAATGTATCTCCATGCGCTAATATTTCTGGGGGTGATGTTGATGTCCTGGCTCCTCTAGAGATCATGCGACAGTTGCGACTGATTTCTCAAAACTACATTGTGGCGACAAATGTGTGTTTGGTGTTCCAACTTCACCCGGAGCTAGAGGTGGATGACGAAGACTTCCCAAAAGTAAGCATTAACTCTGGGCTTTTTATTTATTAGGGCTTAGATCATTGTCTATATAGGCACATTCAAAATTTTTGAAAGAGTAAGTTCAAACACTTTTAAAATAAATTAAAATATAGTTTAATAGCAACTTGGGTTCATTTTGTATAATATTAAAACTGGGAAATGGCCCAAAGTGTGGTACAACCTTCCTTTTCACTGCTTGCTGTATGAGAAATTTATAAAAAGCATTATTTTCTCTCATTCTTGTACATGTATGACAGGAGGTGGGGGGTGGGGGGGATTTGAAGATTTGAAAAGGATGGGGCATTTATTAGGTTGAGTGTGGCTATCTTGTTCATTGCACATCTATTTACAGGGCAGCAGCCAGATTGTTAAAGAGGTAGGAAATGCTACCCGAGACACTGATGTTACGTTCTTTTTCAAACGGAGAAATAACAACAAGGATTTGGATGTGGAACGTCTCCCCTTTCAGGTAGGCTACGTTAGCATTATTAGTGCTAGCCTGTTAAAAGTTGGGTCCAAGCAGACAAAAATGTTGATATCATGTAAAACATATATGAGAAAGTTTTGAGGTCTCCTGAAATACACTTTGCTTCAACATGCATGGCAAGGGGACAGTTTTATTTTTGGTCATTGTGATTGGTCAATCATAATGAAGATTTTTCTTCGTGTTAGATTTAATATATTTACCATCATATGCCATTGACTCTGTATAACCCTACCATATTCAGATAGCTTTCATGAGGTTTTGAATGCCATGAGCCAGTTGTTGATATCGTCATTATCATGATATCTTAATTGCTACTTTAGATATCACTGACCCTCCCTGGACAGGTGGCTTTCCCATTCAGTGAACAAGCTCATATGATAAATACATCAATCTTAATAAGTGTAATTTGGTTTTCTACGAGGTAAACAAATTTGATGAATTTGCCATTTTCCACTTGGCATTCATATCGCATATGAATGCCAATTGAAAGCGGTTAAATGCTTAAATGCTTAAATGAATTGTAAATAATTTCAAGCCATAACATTTTCATCATGCATATGTTAGATAAATTGTTCTTTTTACACATCTAAAGCTTTGTAATTCTAATTTTCTCAAGCTTCTAACTATTACAATTGTGAAGGGTAAAAATGTTTTCAGAGAAATTGATTGTAATTCCTGAAAATAAATCTCATAGGAGGTTGATTATCAATATCACAAACGATAATGCTGCCAAAAAGAAATCTTCATATTATGATTCCTTTATGCCAAATTACTTGTCTGGAAACCCGAAGGTCAAGGTCACTAAATTATGTAATTAGTCATCCTCCTGATGACAGTTCTAGTTTAACCAATCATTGTGTTTCATATGAAATTAATAAGTTAATGTAATCATTGATGTGATTTTGTGTAATGATTGCAGCAGGGTCAATGTTGTAGAAAAAGATATTGATAAGAATGCTTAATGTTTGTTAATAATTTTGGTCCCTCATATTGTGCTCATTAATAGGTGTTGGTACATTGTATTGTTTTTGTGATAACAGCAGTTTTAGTAAAAAGTCTAAGGTAGCAGAGTACTGTAGAAATGGCTTGACCCTAAAAATAAAGGGCATGTCTCAGATAAACATGGATAGCGGATTCATCCTGCACATCACACCTACATATATATATATATATATTTATAAACTACATTTTGAATACATTTTTTTTAGAAGAATGAATATTTTTTCAAAAAGTGATTTCCCCACATTTGGGACTTGTGAAAACCATGGTTACCACATCAAAAAACGCCATAAAATGCAAAAAAACATGATTTACAACCCAAGATTTGACCCACGCAAGTACTATTTTTTAGGTCACCTGAGCTTTGCTCAAGTGACCTATTCTAATCGCTTTTCGTCCTTCGTCGTCCGTAGTCCGTCGTCCGTCGTGCGTCGTGCGTAAACTTTTACATTTTCAACTTCTTCTCAAGAACCAGTGGATGGATTTTTTTCAAACTTGGTCAGAATCATCCTTGGTAGATGAGGCTTCAAAATTGTAAAATTGGGATTCCTACCCCAACCCCTGGGGCCAGGGCGGGGCCCCAAAGGGAAAATTA